AAGGGCTACTTGCTACGACAAACCTCATTGCGAAGGCCTTGTACATACAGGCGGAAAGAAACGAAACCATGCCCTCTTCCGTAAATCCTGAACCCTCAACCGTGGTTTCGAAGAATGACTAATGACCGGATAATACCAATTCAGCACTCTTCCTGAGTTGCTAAGTGCCACTATACTTAGTCCGAAACCCTACTCAACCCTAAACCCTAAACCAAAAAAACCCTAAACCCTAAACCAAAAAAACCCTAAACCCCAAAAAACCCTAAACCCCTAAATCCTAAACCCCCAAAAACCCTAAACCCCTAAATCCCAAACCCCAAAAAACCCTAAACCCCTAAATCCTGAACCCTCAGGCCGACCACCGAAGCGGATCTGGCGGTTCCGGCTGTTTGCGGATCTCTTTCGAGCTCTGAGGTGGGTTGATTGACGGTTAGGCTTTAAGGGTTGGGTTTAGGATTTGGGTGCTAGGGTGATGGGTTTAAGTTTAGAGTTGAAGGTTCAGGATTTTCATAAATCCTGAACGCTATCGAGTGAGAAGAGCTGTATGATAGGTCGTGAGGTTTATTCCTTGTTGGCGGGGGTAAACGGGTAAACCCTGCAAAACACAACCACAAATCCCCTTCAAATGGGCCTAAATCCCAATTCCAAACTGTCAGCCCTACAAAATCCCAAACCTCACACCCCTCCACCCCCAACCCAATGACAACTCTTCACCCCAGGCCCCTAAATCCCAATTCCTACACCCTAAACCCTGAGCCCTAACCAAAGGGTAGCCTTCGAAACCTCAACCCCAAACCCCTGAACCCGACACCCCGTGACTGCCAGGCACCCAAGGAGCTACAGCCGCCGGGGCAGGCATGGCAGGGCGTTTTCATAATGGTTTAGGGTTAGGGGTCTCTGTTCAGATGATGACGGTTTCTGCAAGGGCTTTATGAAGTGCTCTCGTGGCTTCGGGATGTCGGGTTGAGGATTGAAGACGGACTTCTTAGGGTTGACACTGGAGGTTGCAAGTTCTTTTTGAGGTGGAGAGTTTTACGTCTCCTGGTTTGGGGGTCCGGGCCTTATCATAGCGCTTCCTGTGCGAACCGCAGCATGCAGCACAGATGCTATGATTCCCGATGAAGAGTTGATATGGGGTCGGAGTAATGACGATATACTGTCTGTCTCTTCCGTCTCGCTATAGTGGCCGAAGATTCGAAGCCCAAAGGCTCATCACTAATGCCCCTGCATAAGGCTTCCTAGCAGAGAGCTTTGGGGCGACGGGTGGAAGCACTGACGAGCTTCCTCGCATGGATTCCGAAAGACAGTTTCGGGTTTAGGGGCTTAGGGTTTTGGGGGGTAGTTTACGGGTTAGGGTTTGGGGATCGGGAACCCCGAACCATAAACCCTAATCGCTAAACCCTAGACCCTGGACCCTAAACCCTAAACTTAAAGCCCACACCCGAAGCCGTGACACCCTAAATCTTCAACCAGAAAATCTAAATCTGGGCTTCTCTAATCCTTAAGCCCTATACCCAAAACCCTAAACCCTCAACTCTAAATAAGTAAATGAAGAAACAAATAAATAAATAAGTACACAAATAAATGCATATATATATATATATATGTACGTATATGTATATATATATGTATATGTATATATATATATATACATATGTATGAGTGTAAGGGATTCCTGCTATCATCTCAGAATCCGCCCTTCGACGAAGACCTGCTGCTGCCCTGCGCTGGGCGCTCAGCACACTTCAAGGATCACAGGGGACTATAGTCAGAGCAACTCATAATCCCAATTAGGGTACGGTGTTGTGGGCTTCAGGTTCCCAGGGCTATACTCAGCACCTGCTTGCGGTGCAGGGCTTAAGGTTCATGCTATAGGGTTCAGAGTTCAAGGTTAAGGGTTTTAAAGTTTTAAAAGATCAGGATTGAGGGTTTATGGCTCAGGATGCAGGCTTCAGAGAGGCGGCAGGAACACTTGCAGCATCGCAGCAATCGACACCAGTCGATGTGTCGTCCGCAGGTTTTGCTGATGGCATCCGGAGTGTAAGCCCTAATTAAGCCCTAAACCCCTAAAGCCCTAAACCCTCAACCCTGAACCCTCGACCCCAAACCCTCAACCGTAAACTCTTTAGACCGTAAAACCCGAGTCTTCGTTTACGTCCACAGCCTTCGAGCACTTTCATACAGAAGCCTGAATACGCTTTAGGCTTTAGGGTTCTAGGGTTTCGGGTTTAATTTAGGGGGCCTTAACAGGCACACTTTTTTTTTTCTCCTTGGGGTTCCTGGTTATAACTCTACTAGGAGCTACCCTACAGTCCTTTTTCTAACAAATGCAGGCCAATACTATTCGGGAAGTTCTCTAAATTAGGGTACTATTTTTGGGTCCCAAAAATAGTACGGCACCCTTATGAAAAGGACCCCAACACTATTTGTCAGGGTTCCTTGTTATAACTGACTAGAAGCTTCCCCAAAGGCCTACTCTAATTTTCAAAAGGGCCCTAAAAAATCAGGCGGTGATCATGTCCGCCAACGTGGGCCTGTTCCTTTGCGATGCTCTGTCGCTGACGGTGACCTGGATGCGAAGCTTCGGGTTCGAGGTCTGAAAAACTGAGGAACGTTTAGCGGGGTTTAGGGTTTATGGTTGAGGCTTTTGGGTTTAGGGTTTAGGCGTTTAGGCGCTTAGGGCTTAGGCTTTGGAGTTTAGGCTTTAGGGTTTTGGGTTTAGGGTTTAGGGTTTTAAACCGTGAAGAACAAGATTCAGGTCAGGTCTCTTCTCCTTCAAGGCGCCTCAAGGTTGCTATTTTGTGGGAGCTTGGGGCTTGGGCGCCGGGACTTCTATGATCGTATATACAGCAGCAAGACCCTAAGCGCACTCACGTCCAAACCCCAAAGCTTGCATAGAACCCCTATCCCACAGCTGCTCGAAGGTGACGCCTCTGTTGCGAAAGCCTGGGGCCCAATGTCAAACTCAGAGTGTTGCAGCTGCTTGTGGTGCATGTGGGGGGAAACCGTGAGCCAAAAGACTCTGAGCCCTAAACCCTGAACCTGACACCCCAAACTGAGCCCTAAACCCTGGGCCCTAAGCCATCAAGCCTGAATCCGAGATCCTCAGTCCGAAGCCGTTAGGAATGAGGCCTTTAGCGCTTAGGGTTAGCCTTAAGCCCTGAAGTCTTATGCAACGCTTGTACTCATAGGATCCCTTTGGAGGTCTTGAGTGGTTTCAAACCCCAGACCCCCTACATAAGGAGCTGAGGAGGTAGCCGCTACCCTTTTGGGGCTTGTATGATCTTCCTCCTACTCCATACTTTTTAAAAAGGGTCAACCTGTCTTAGGCTAGGGAATTCAGCTCGTAAGTTGCTACAGGGATGCTTGCGGGGCCGGGCCTTCCTGTGCAGGCTCGGACTCAGTAGCTTCATTTAGGTAGCTCTCTCAACGAGGGTCCCTTTTTAGGATCCTGTTTATGAAGGGTGCCGTACCAGTTTGGGGACTTAAAAAGGGGAACTACTCACGTAGGATTTAGGGCTCAGTGTCTTGGGGTTTGGGGTTCGGGTTCAGGGAGGGATAGGGGCCTGAATATTTGTAACCCTACACCCTAAACCCTAAACCCAAGAAGTTCTTTAGAACGGTTTGTATCTTACTCCCACAGAAGAATGCCATGAGGCGTTCAAGGTTTCTAGAAGGGCTTGTAATGAAGGCTTTCTATCTTTTGGATACTGCCCCCACTCAGTAACAGTTGAGTAATATTCATAATATTGATATATAAGGCCCTTAATAGTAACCATATTATGAACTGTTACTGTATGGGGGCAGTACCCAAACTTGCCCTCTTTGGGTTCAGGCCCCCCGGTCCAGCAGTACCCTGCTACTTCAGGCGTTTCGGTATTAAGCCCGAGGAACAGGACGAACAGTAGCAGTACCGGTTGTTATTGACATGATGCCGGCGAACCTAGGATTCTGATCTTCCAAACCCTAAACCCTAAACGAGTTCCTTTATTAGTGAAGTCCGCTGCTAAGTTCGGACAACTTGGCAGTGCAGCTCGCGTACCCTCGCGCTGAGGTGGAGTTTCGGGTGATTGAAGCGTTTTGTTGAGGGTTATTCGTTCTTTTGGATACTATGACCAAGGCTGGATGGAAGGCCTATCTTGAATCTAGAGCCATTTAAGGCTGCATTGCGCTTGGGTCTTGGAGGGTTAGGGTTCAGAATGGGTGTATTCCGGCCTGGAAAGGACAAGGGTTTGGGTTTGGGGCTCGGGGCTTGGACTTGGTTGTGTCGGCGGTCGGGCAATGCTTTTCGTGTATTGGCATCAGTGTGTGGCTTGTCATGAACTGCCCGGGTTGGGTATAGCTTGTTTTTAGGGTTTAGGGTCTAGGGTTTTTGACCATCACGGGAATTGGGGGGGACGAGTTTCGTTAAGCTGAAAAAAGAGTTTCAGAAGGTTTGTACAGCTTTTCCTCGGAGGGGCTTGTTGCCACCCAAAACCCTAAACCCTAAACCCCAAACCACAAGCCCTAAGCCCTAAACTCCTAAAACCCAAAACCCCTAAACCCACGATGAACTGCAGGAAGGGAGTTGACCGGAGTTCTGTGTCAGTGCACGCTTTTCACAAAGCCCATAGCAGTAACGTCAGGCTTGGAGGTGGCAGCGTGTGCAGCCGCCATGTCAGACATGCTAGCTGCTAGACCTGCCACACCATCTACACTCTAGAGCTAGAAGCCCAGTACAGCAATACCGCATATCGCGAGATCTATATCTGTTCAATCGGCTCTGCCCTTTGCAGCTTTATGCCCTTGCCCCTCAGCCGAGGATTCCTTGCCATGTTTGGAGGAGTAGCCTTAATTGTTTAGAGCTTAGGGATGTAAAGTGTAACCTTGCAACTAAGTATCACCCTATAGTACAGCCCAGGCGGTTGCAGTGGAAGCAGGGGACGTTCCTGGCTTCAACTGGGCTACCCAATTTCCAAGTGGGGCCTAAACCCTAAACCCTGGCACCAGCTGACCTCCCCATGCTCCGCGTGTGGAGACCTTCTGGGGAAGAGCTGGTCATCATGAGCGAAAAGAAGTTGAAGGATGTAGCGGCGTTGAAGCGAAATCTCTGTGAGTTCTACGGCTTTCCGGTGTACCTACAGCAACTCGTACATGACAACGGTGTTTTGGCTGATGAAATCAAGCTTGATGCCTGTGTGGACCTGCAATTGCTCTTGCTGCGAGTTTCCGATCAAACTCGAGACTGTGCTGCGCTGGATTTGATGTCTGCTGCCAGAAAGAATCACATTAAGATGGCTCGCTGCTTGCTGGAATGCGGCGCTGTCAAAGACAGTCAGGCCTTCCTGCAAAAGTACCTCACGACACCCCTTCTTATCGCAGCAGCTGCGCTCTTGTTAAGGAGTTGAATTTAAGTTCCCTAAAACCTAAACCCTAAACCCTAGATATAACAGGTATCTATACTTGTGGTAAAGAACATGGGCATCTATGGGCTCCTAGTCACCGTAAACTTACACCAAATCCCGCAACTTGAATGAAAACTCGGAACAAGAACCCAGGCAGAAACTGGACACCTGGAGATGGCCCGCTTACTTGTGGAAGCTGGCATGGGTAAAGATGCAAAAGGGCGCAGGGGCTTGACAGCCCTAATGCTTCTTAGTAGCGGTTTAGGGTTTAGGGTTTAGGGACGCTTCAAACTTTTTTGGGATACTATGACCCCTTCTGGAACTGAAAGTGTAGAGTGTAGACTTTTTGTGATTACGAACTCAGCAACTAAGGCTTGCTTCGGAAAATGATCACTTGGAGATCGTACGATTAATGCTGGAAGCTGGTGCTGATAAAGATTTGACTTGCAAGAAGAGCGGTACAGCCTTAATGATCGCATCAGAAGCTGGGAACTTGGAGGTTGCCCGTTTGCTCTTGGAAGGTGGTGCCGATATACATCACCCGGACAACGATGGTAAGACAGCCCTAATGCTCGCAGCAGAGAATGGCCACTTGAAGGTTGCACGCTTGCTGCTAGAAGCGGGTGCTAACAAAAATGACAGTGGCAGGGACGGCATGACAGCTTTAATGCTCGCATCAGACAGTGGGCACCTGGAGATTGTACGCTTGCTTCTGGAAGCTGGTGTGGATAGAGATGCAAAAGAGAAGAGGTACGGCATGACAGCCCTCATGCTCGCTTCGGGATGTGACTTGGAGGTTGTACGTCTGCTGTTGGAAGCTGGTGCTGGCAAAGATGAAACAGGCAAGAATGGCATGACAGCCTTACTGCTCGCAGCCAAGCGTGGGTACTTGGAGGTCGCACGTTTACTATTGGAAGTTGGTGCCGACAAACTTCACGTGGACCATAAAGGGAAGACCGCACTAATGCTCGCATCGAAGCATGGCCACTTGCAGGTTGCACGCTTACTGCTGGAGGCTGGTGCGCGCATAGATGACACTACCAGGACCGGCATGACAGCCTTGCTGCTTGCATCACAGGGGGGATGCTTGGAGGTTTCGCGTTTGTTGCTGGAAGCTGGTGCTGACAAAGATCATAAGAACTACGGCTCAATGACCGCCCTAATGCTCGCATCGGAGAATGGCCACTTGGAGGTCTCACGCTTGCTGCTGGAAGCGGGTGCTGACAAAGAAGCAACAGGGAAGAATGGCATGACTCCCCTGATGTTTGCATCGGGGAATGGCCACTTTGACGTTGCAGGTTTGCTGCTGGAGGCCGGTGCTGACACAAGCTATCTAGACGGTGATAGTGTGACAGCCCTGTTCCGGACACTAGCAGCTGCTGACAACAAACACGGCCCACGTACATCAGCCCTCAACCCCGGAACCCACAACCCCACAGGTTTAGGGTTTAGGGTTTAGGGAACCCACAACCTTCAACGCCATAGTCGTTGAGGAACTTTACGTCATTATCGAGAGTATATCATTATCATGGTGTCGTAAAATAGCTTCAGCTCCCTATCAGACCTTCCAAGAGCCACAGAACACCCTAATGCCACCATAAAGCCTTATATTTTTTAGACCCGTCAACAACCTATTCTGGCCCCGCTGAGACCCTCATGGAACCCTTATTAAACCCGGCCTCGGACCCCCTATGAGTCCCTTCGGTGGATGATATAAATCCTGCATTACCTTAAGGACCCTAACCTATGGGAATTATGGTATATTCATTATTGTGGGTCATGCAGGATTTATATCATCAACCCTAAACCCTAAACCCTAGACCCTAAACCTAAACCCTAAACCTAAACCCTAAACCTAAACCCTAAACCCCTACTTGAACCTACCCGTTTATCACAAACATAACCCTGCCACCCCTGCCAAAGCCCAACCCGGCAGCCAAGTCTTTGGCGCCTTGCGGGGGCCGGTTCCCCGAAGCAATCGAGACCCTCCTACCCAGAGACTCCATATACCTTAAATCATAATAGGACCCTTAATAAGGTTTAAGGCATATTCCTTAATTAAGGGGTTTTGGAGTCTTTGGGTAGCCTCGCTGCTTGGAGGATCATGGGACTTTGTAATGGTAACTGGGGTTATAAATAAGGTCTCGGTTTAGGGTTTAGGGGTTAGGTTTTAGTATCTGCATAGTAATTACCTATAACCCCCAGTTAAGGCACCTGTAAGCATACTTACTAGGTCCCATGATCCTCCAGTGAGGTTAGAATAGGGTGGTCGATATAACAATAGGAGAACAGAAATGTATTTACGAGCCTCAATAGCCCTTCACCCTAAACCCTTGAAGCCTAAAGCTGTGACCCCTAAGCCCTAAACACTCAAGAGCACCTTCAATGAGAAACCCTGGAGCCCCAAACCTACACCCTAAAAACCCCCATGCCTTGAATCCTTAATCTCCAAACCCTGGGTTTAGGGTTTAGGGTTCAGGGTTTAGGGTTTAGGAAGACCCTGAACCCTAAATCCCTAAACCCGAAAAGCCCTAAGCCCCTGAACAATTCCCTAAACCCTAAAAGCCCAGATGTACAGTAGTATGTCTGCGACTTGAACCCCACAGGTTAGAGAAAAAAACCCTAAAAGCCCTGTGCAGACCCTGTGGCAGGTTTTCCACGTGACGAGCCCCCAAGACTTGGCGTCGGCCCAGAGCTCAGAAGCTTAGTTTTGAGTTGTTAGGCATACCGGTTAGGGTTCAGGGTTTGGGGTTTTAGGGTTTCGGTTTAGGGTTTTGGGCTTTAGGGCTTTAGGGTTTAGGGTTTAGGGAGGGGTTTAGTTTCAGGGTTTTGGGGTTCAGGGTCTGCGGCACATAGTTCGTCTATCTCTTCATGGTGCTTATTTAAGGGATTTTTTTGTGGTGTTTTTCGTACAGGGTCTTCATTAGCTGTTAGTGTTCCTTATGCAGGGTTTCAAGATAGCACCGGCCTTTTTGGTTTGTTCTCATAGGTGGAATCGGAGCTTCAAGTAACAACGGCTGAAGGCCAGAATTTCAAGCGAAGACATACTACTTACCAGTGCTAGTGCATGTACTAGCACTCGTACTGGTAGTAGCCGCAGTAGTAGTAGTAGTAGTCGTCGTCGTCGTCGTAGTGGTAGTGGTAGTGGTAGTGGTAGTGGTAGTGGTAGTGGTAGTGGTAGTGGTAGTGGTAGTGGTAGTAGCCGCAGTAGTAGTAGTAGTCGTCGTCGTCGTAGTAGTAGTGGTGTAGTAATCGTCGTCGTAGTAGTAGAAACTGGTAGGAGTAGGAGCCGTCGTAACAGCAACAGCAGTGAAGTAGCAGAAGCAGTGGCAGTAGTAGCATTAGCTTGTAGTACGGAGTAGTAAGTAGCAGTAAGTCGTAGCAGCAGAAGCAGCAGCAAGAGCCGTAAAGGGGCTTATTTGGTTTTGCGTGTTTTGTCAGGGTTGGTATGGCGGTTTTCATAGGATGTTGTAGGGCCACATGGGGCTTATTTAAGGTCGTACAGGGGTTTTCAGGATTGCACGGGGCTGTAGAACTCAGAGAGCCCAATATAGCCTAAACGAATACACTTTAAAGCATATGATAGCCCCTTATGATGTATTCATAAATGAATGGGCGCTGTCATAGCTCTCTAGGAAGACGCACCCTAAACCCTAAACCCCGAAGCCTCTAAACCCCTAAACCCCTAAACCCTAAACCCCCTACTCCCCTAACTGAACCCCCTAAACCCTAAACCCTCAACCCCCTCCCCTTATCCCCTCAGCTCTATACCCTAAGCCCTAAGCCCCAAATCCCCTAGTCCCTCAAGCCCCAAGGCAAAGTTTGAGCCGACCTGCGTGATCTGCATTGCGGAGTTCGAGCCCGGGACTAAAGGGTATAGGGCCTTGGGTTTTTAGGATTTTAGGGTTTTAGGGTTTAGGGTTTAGGGTTTTAGGGTAATAGACGCCTGCATAGTTCCTAATACCATTTCCAAGGCTCCTCTTATGACTATAATGACTTTAATTGAAATGTAATCCTATGGAAGCCTGCACGCTTCGTAATACTGTTTGTAGGCTTCCTTGTTCTGAATATTGTTTAATACTTATTTATCATTCAACTACCAGTAGTTTCCAATGTTATTCCTCAGGTTTCCTCATGGTACATGTGCTTTCAGCCCCAGGGTTTTGAAGGGGTAGTGGGGGGTTCCTTTTTGACAGGGTTCAGGGAGTTTTTGGTTGTCAGGCTTGATGGGTTAAACCCTAAACCGTAAAACCCTAAACCCCTAAACCCCTAAATCCCTAAACCCCTAAACCCTATGTCCAGTTCTGGCTGGAGCAATTCGGGGTCTTAGAGTTTCCGGGGTCTTGGGGTTTGGTGATTGGGTTTCAGGATTTGGGGTTCCCGGGGCTTCGGGTTGAGGGATTAGAGCTTGGCGCGATGGGCGGGCTGGGACAGGGTCCGTTTTGGAAGTATGTGCGGTAAAGATCCTATTCAGCAGGGCATAGAGAAGGCAAGCCAAGATGTAAACTCTAAAGGCTCTAAACTCTTAAACTTTTGACTAAAGCCTAAGCTCTGAAATTAAGACTCTCAGTTCCCAGAGACTCCAAAACGCCTTAAATATGGAATATACCTCAAATCTTATTAGGATTCCTATTATAGTTTAAGGTATATTCCTTAATTAAGGGGTTCTGGAGTCTCTGGGTTTAAAAACGTAAATTCTGGAAGCCAGGCTTAGGGCCTCAGGGTTTTAGAGTTTTAGAGGGTTTTTATGGTTTAGGGTTTAGGGTTTAGGGCTTTAGGGTGATAGACGCCTGCATAGTTTGTAATACCATTTCCAAGGCTCCTTATTTTGACTATAATGACTGTAATTAAAGTGTAATCCTATAGAAATCTGCACGCTTCGTAATACTCTTTGTAGGCTTCCTTGTTCTGATTATGGTTTAGTATCCATTAGTTATTTAACTACCAGTAATTTCCAATGTCATTCCTCAGGTTTCCTCGTGGTACATATGCTTTAAGCCCCAAAACCCGTGTAAGGGGTTAACGGTTGTTCGGGGGTGGGGGGTTCCGCTTCAGACAGGGTTCAGGGAGTTTTTAGGTGGTCAGGCTTGATGTGTTAAACCCTAAACCCTAAAACCCTAAAGCCCTAAACCCCTAAACCCTAAAAGGTGGTCAGTTCTGGTTGGAGTTATTGGAGGTCTCAGAGTTTACGCTGGGTCTCGGGGTTTGGGGGAATTGGGTTTTAGGATTTTGGGTTCCCGGGGCT